TACAACGCCACCTACTAATTATTAAGTCTTCCACTTTATCTGTCTTTATGTAAGTAAGTCTGTTTATACTAAAACTGAGAAGGTTCACCAACATTATTCATCTATATTTCAATTTTCCAGTTGTTATAATCGCAAATTGTAATGTTGATTTTACTTGAAAGTATTTGAAGTATTTTAATGAAATATGTTGAAAAGCATTTGGTTTATTTACCCTCTTTCACAGTTCGTTTCAAGAAGTGCTTTAAGGCTGTTCAGTTGTATTTCGATCTCATGAATTGTCACCAATCAAATCACACACACACACATAAGGAACTGATGTACGCCTTTCAATAACTAGGTATAGACAAAACTAATAGTGGTTATTATACTGAAGTTCTTTATTATTACCAAAACCAAGTATTGAGAAATTAGTGTGTAGTTATGAGTGTTTTGGAAATATATTATTCTGTAAATTATTAATTGTGTGATTTTCTGCAGAACTGAATAAACCTTGTCTATGAAATATCGTATTGAATGTACAAACTTTGTCCCTGAAATCTTGTAAAGTTGAACATTTTGTTGTATTGATAAGCTGTGAGTAATAAACATCATAAGATATTTGTATTCACCAATTGAAACTTTATAACTTCAAGATTAAAAGTTACTATTTTATTGAAAAGTTTGAATGATTGATTGATTATGCCAATGTTTAAATCCAAGTAATTGTCCTGTGTAGAATCTGTCCGTTAAAGTGTGTGTCTAATGTTAGCATTACATAAGGTGCAAACATGGATGGAACAGTGATGATCTAGATGGAACAAAAATAAACCAGTAATTAAAAATAAGGAACTGAATTAACACCTTTTGGTCAAATAAATTTAACGCATCACTTGAGCATTTGATGAAGGATAAGCAATGCACGATATCTTCTGATTGTTAGGTAGAATGAGTTACTTCTTGTCCAGTCACTGTTGTAAACTAATGATATGTATAACTTCTAATCAATCTACTACAGTTACTCTAAACCTACTGTACCAAACACATGACTGAGTTCTGGCTAAAACGTGCTTACATGAAAGATGTCAATAGTTTTTCTTTCACAAATGGACTTCAACTTTAAAATGCTCATTTTGAGAACTTCTGCACATTAAAAACACCCCTGCTATAATGAGCTTAATTTGTAAATAAAAATCCAAGTATGTCAACTGTTACGAATCATGAACCTCAAAACAGAAACAGTCATAGATTTTTATTAGTTTTACAACCACATTTGATTTATGCAGGACATCTTGAAATGTCAGTGATTGGGTAGAACTACATGAACCAAGATTACTTACAAGTGATTGGGTAGAACTACATGAACTTAGATTACTTACAAGTGATTGGGTAGAACTACATGAACTTAGATTACTTACAAGTGATTGGGTAGAACTACATGAACCAAGATTACTTACAAGTGATTGGGTAGAACTACATGAACCAAGATTACTTACAAGTGATTGGGTAGAACTACATGAACTTAGATTACTTACAAGCGATTGGGTAGAACTACATGAACCAAGATCACTTACAAGTGATTGGGTAGGATTACATGAACCATGATCACTTACAAGTGACTGGGTAGAACTACATGAACCAAGATTACTTACAAGTGATTGGGTAGAACTACATGAACCAAGATTACTTACAAGTGATTGGGTAGAACTACATGAACCAAGATTACTTACAAGTGATTGGGTAGAATTACATGAACCAAGTTTATTTACAAGTGATTGGGTAGAACTACATGAAATTAGATTACTTACAAGTGATTGGGTAGAACTACATGAACTTAGATTACTTACAAGTGATTGGGTAGAACTACATGAACTTAGATTACTTACAAGTGATTGGGTAAACTACATGAACCAAGATTACTTACAAGTGATTGGGTAGAACTACATGAACTTAGATTACTTACAAGTACTCTTATCCCAATCATAAATTTCAGAGTAGGTTGTAACTGTATTCATAGTAGGTTGTAACTGTATTCAGGCTACTTCTTTTACATGTCTTTGTATACTAATTAACCTTGATTCAATGTATCATGTGGTGTTTGGTTTTATACTGTTATATGTTTATATATCAGTTGACGTTAAAATGAGAAGATCATGTAACTACAATAAGGTATTAAGAAATTGTTTTTAAAACAGTGTTCTGTGACCATAAGATATCATCATAATTTTTTTATAGAGAAAAAAAAAGATGCATAAAACTTTACAGTCTTTGAAATACACTTAATACGGGCAAGTGTTAACATCTATCTGTCAATCTTTTGATAGCTCCAGAAAAGCTAACATCAAGTCAGTGTGTATCAAAAAAACGTGTGGTGAGTGTATTACAGCTCACCCTGATTGTGCCTGGTGTTCTGATGAGGTGAGATTTTTTATCATGTATATAATGAATTCTCAGTTTTTTTTCCATAATTAAACAATTTATATGTATATTTATGTACAAGCTTGTAATTATCGAGGAATGTAGAGAATAGACTGATAAGCTTTGAAAATGTTTGAAATAAAGCTGAAGTAGGTGATGTAAAAATAAGGTTATTACATACAAGATGTTGTTATCAATAAAAAAAACTTCAGTAAC